CATGAAAAATTATATCCATTTCATTGTTGTCAGTGTTGATTATATTGTTGACGTCGATGCTGTTTTCAAAAACGCTATCACTAATAGATTGAACTGTTTTTAATTCATCTTGCGTCCGAACGTCAAGACACTTTGATTCTCGATTTGGAGATTTGATGAGTAGTTGTTGTTGGTTGGCCATCATTGCTGATGCTGCTGTTGTCTTTTCATTCATCCGCCTTTCCAAATCCATTTTCAAAATGGGGTTAAGATGAATTGGTAAAATCCTCTCCTCCCTGACAGCTGTATCGTCGTCTTCATCATCATCCCCAACTAAATCTTTCCTCTTTGAGACCACATTCACACTAAGCCTCTTCTTAGCTTTTTCCTCTTTGTAGACAACATCATCCAACAAATCAGGAAGAGAAGAATTAGTGCTTCGAGAATGGGATTTTTTTCTCCTACATTCGACGGCCGGATAAAAATAACTTGTAGACGTTGGCCGGCCATCTGGCGAACTTTCTTTTGGAGGACTATTCAGAAGCAAACCGTTTTTATGTTGTTGGTGTGGTTGGTTCTGCAAATGTTTTTGTTTCTTTATCAATAATTCTTTCTTCCAGAGAGGGAGGTTTTCAATCATTTCAACGTCTTCTTCTGTAGTGAAATTACGTTTGCCTGACTTGCATGAAAATATCGTCTGCTGTTTCCATTGTGCCGGAACAGAGTGGTCCGTACTACTGGCTGTGGACATCTCTTGAATTGAATTTGTTGTGGAATATTATAATTGTAAATTAAATCTTTTTTAAAACAAAAAAGTTTTATAAAATTTTTTCGTTTTTTTAAAATAATTTTTTTTGAGGATTTTTTTAAAAATAAATTTGATACGCACGGGCGAGAAATTAGAAAACTTTTTAAACAAATAAAAATTTAAAAAACTAATGGTTGACAAGAGTGACGGTGGCACGACAACTTATAGATGATTAATGTTTAAAAATTATCAGGTAACAACAATTTGTGTTTAGTGAATTTATAAAATAAAGTTAGTTTTTTTTAATTTAAAATTTGTAATTTAGTTTATTTAATAATAAAAGTAATATTTATCACTATAAAAATAATATTTATCTCTATAATAGGAAAATTTTAAAAATAAATACGGCAATCGCGACAATCTATGATTTATCAAATTTCTCAACATTATTAAATTATATTATACATTATTTTAAATGTAATAATTTTTTCTACTATAAAATAAATAACGATTAGTTCATTAAAACAAAATTTATTTACGAGCCTAAATTTTGACTATTAGATGTACCTTACCTTTATCTAACCTAGTTATGTGGTTATAACCTAAAAGTTTAGGATTTCACAGGTGATACTGAATTTATTTTTGCGATTTAAAATTCTTTTTTTAATTAATTAATTAATTAATTATTTTTTTAATAATTATAAATTAATCACGATCAATTTGTTATAATTAGTTTTTATGGTGTTGGTTTTTTGTCAGTTTGAAGATGTTTTTCCTCTTTTGATCACCAGTTTTTCACTAATTTTCTTGGTTCTTGGTTCTTTATTTAATTAGTTTTTTTAGAGATTAGATTTAGATTAGAGTAAAAGTTTATTTATAGCGGAAGGAGGCCATCTGGCGTTTAAAAGAATGATGTCTTTTTATTTCAGTTTGAAATCAAGAAGTTATTCTTCTCTAGTCTCTAAAATTTCTAAAACTAAAAAGTTCATCTCTTAAAAAATGTTCAAATGTCTTCAATCGGTGTCTTTGTAATAGTGTTTTTTTTCTCAGTCTGTGATGCTAAATCTTTTAAATGCTGTTTATAAATGCTTTTAAATTATGTTTATTTGAATAATTTTTCATTTTTTTCATATTAATTGTCATTATTTTTAATTAATTGTTAATTGTCATTGTAATTAATTAATTAAATGAATGAATGAATGAATGGATGAATGAATGAATAGATGAATGAATGAATAATTAAATAATTGTGAGTGAATGAACGAAGTCAAATAAACACACAAAGCAGTAGTGTACCAACTAAAAAGATCTGATGTTCTTCATATAGCTCTTGCACATGCCATAAATGATATTTTTTTTCAAAAAGAATTATTAAAACTTATGTGTGCGGTGCCCTTATGTGTGTGATTCTTTGCTTGTTTGTTTGTTTCTGTGTGTGTGTGTGTGTGTGTGTGTGTGTGTGTGTGTGTGTGG